GTTAATAAGCAATTTTCAAATAAAATGATTGAGATTTTAATTTGTGAAGGGAGCATCATTTTCCTTACGCCCAAAGTCTAAAGGTGAATTCGTGACCAAGAGGATAACCTAAGACACACACACACACAAAAAAAAATCACCTTGGCTAGATGGGCTCCAATGGGATACGAACTATTTGCATTTGTGAGACAATTTTGCAAGTTGGGTACGAAATGAAGATACAATGCTATTTGATTCGTACGTCGTATCTTTTAATTTAATTAGGTTTGGAGTTTACGCATTAAACTGAGCTGCAACGAAAATCTCCCTTAACTACCAGAAAAATGTGTCGTGTACACAAAATGTGTACATCTTTTTTGTACACTTGTCTGTCCCTCGCAGATAAGTTGTCTGTTAGAGACAATGCAACTCAAAACTCTAACTACGTGTATACTATGGTACTTCGTATTCATTCAGTTCCGTTTTAACATATGCATTGTTTTTAGAAAAAACATACGGAGTAATATGCATTCTATTTAGGGAATAAATATGCCTCCTTATAAAATCCAATAAAAGTGCCATTCTTGGACTTTTTCTTGGATGGAGTTTTCCTTCTCTATAAAAACGAGGTATCAACAAATAACATGCTAAGTGTATTAAGTTGAAATATACTCGCTCTAGAGTTAGGATGTTTTTACTTGGACTGTAATTTGTCCCAGACCAGACCAGTCCAGACCAGACCAGACTAGTTCAGACCAGACCAAACCAGACCAGACTTGGATAGTTATAAAAATACAAAGAAACCAGACCTTACCACACCAGACCAGACCAGTTCAGACCAGACCAGACCAGATCAGACCAGACCAGATCAGACCAGACCAGACCAGACCAGTAAATTACAGTCCAAGTAAAAACATCCTTAAGGCACTACGTACTAAATTAAGGCTAAAATTGTAAACAAATACACTAGTACAAAAAGTGTCTATTATAAAATTCGTTATGTAACACATTAAAATTTAAAATCGTATTTTTGAATCGAATTGGTAGATGTTTTTAAAAATCGAATCGTAAAATCGAATCGCAAATCGTACGATTTTACCAAACATATTTTAATAACTATAAAATAAATAAATATTAAAATTAAGTTGCAAGTTAATGATATTATATCATTTCATTACATAAAACTATACGGTCTATACCTAAAATGTCAAAAGCAAGATTTATAAACTGTTTTTAAAATGTAAATGTATTGAATAAAAACATTAAACATATGTAAAACATAAAAAAAATTAAGTATCACAAGAATCCATTACTTTTATAAATAAACGATTCATATTATTATTATTGGAATTTTGTATCAATTTGTAGTTGTTAAATTTAATAAATTTGAACCATTTTCACTAAAAACAACTTATTACGATTTTGCTACGATTGTATACGATTCTACACGATTTTAGGACGATTTTTTTACGATTTTGTATGATTTTATGATTTTACGATTTTACCTGCGATTTGAATCGCTTTATTAATGTAGAATCGTAAAATCGTACGATTTTACGATTTAAATCGAGATTTTAACAACCTTGATTAAAATTGGTACAACATATTACCTTTTGTAACACTATTGTACCAAAAAATGCTACAATAGAATAATAAATTGCTATAATACATCTATTGTAACATCAGCCAGACTAGTCGGATGCGACATACTAAAAATACTATATTTGATTTATTGTGACATTTATAACACCTATTGCAAGATTTTACATATTCTATAAAAGCTATACTTTGTTTTAGAGTCCAATGACTAATATATAGTTAACTAAAATAATGATATTGGATAAGAATGTGTTTAAAATATACAACGGCTATGAATCTATGATACTATGATAGCAACATTTAGTTAGTGTGATTGAGTTTTAATTTGTTCGTTAGTGACAATGAATGCTTACTCATACTATTTTAGTCATATTTTTTGTTCACATATTTTATTTCATTAATGTTTTAGGATAAATCCCAATTTAAATAGATTGTACTCTATATGTATTTAATATAATAATATATAGATTTGCACTTCATCATATTTATGCTTTGCACTTATACCACCTCACAATTATGCACATGTTTTGACTTTTGCACTCAAATGTTGTTAACTTTGATTGTTCATTATTCACAAATCATATTACTTTATGATACAAAAATAATTTTAAATGCTTCACTTTATTATATAAAATTGATTGATATCATTGAAATGTTAATTCACTATAGATTTTAAAAGTTAAATTGTGAACTACTCCGTATGTAGATTTAAGTGACGAAGGGGGCTAATTTAAGGGACTATGCGTATGTTAAGCCTATAGATTAATTAGCCTCACAATCTCAGATTGAGAATACTTTTACATACGTAGTATATGTTAGAGAAGCATACATGAGAATATATATGCTGGATCGGAAGTAGTTTACTATACTACAGAATTGAAGACTAACCCTAGAAATACATACTGCACGTGAAGAGTTTGATAATGCACGTGAAGGGATAAATATCAGCTGCTCACCTACTCCAATAATAATGAGCATCCCTCAAATTAGGGGTGGGCGCGGTCCCTAACGATCCGGTAAATTAAAAAAACTTGTAATGTATCCGTGAGGTTTCTAACGGTTCGTTAGGCTCCGGTTCTAAGGATGGAACCATTCAGTACCATGTCGTTTCGGAATAGTACAAAACGGTAATATACAGTACATCAATGTCAAACACGTGCTTAAAAGAGATTTATTGGTATGGAGAAATATAAAAATTTTAAATGCATTATTTTTTAATGGTCCGGTCCGGTATATTTCGGTTCTCAAAACCGGTCCCGTACCCGTTTCAAATGTTACGGTTTGGATTCAGGATAAAAATCTATAGAATCATTTAAATATTCGATATTCGGTTCAATACCGTTACAGGCCGGTTGGGTAGCAGTTCAGTTCGGGTTTTATGCGCACCCTACCAGGGGCGGATCTAGCCCTAGGCCAGGGAGGGCCTAGGCCCAACCTCAAAAAAAATAAAATTACTAGTATATATATTATATATAATTCCGTTAAGAAATGATATAAAAACAAAGAAAGGCAATAAGTGTCCAACTAATCCTCTGGCAAGATGGTAGTAAACTGATCCACATGCTTGCACGTTCCGTGTTTGAAGACCTGCACGTCCTGAGTTCAAAGCTTGTCTAGAGCTTTAATTTTTTATACTTTTTAATATCTTTTAAAAATCAATCTTCTAAGATGAGTTACTACAAGACTAACACCAATTCATCTCAAATGTTAAATGAGCTAGATACTAATATTGTAAACGGCCTTTTTGAATATGAACCTGAAAAATTAATTTGTTCAATTCATTGGATTTCATACGTGAAAATTAGTTCAAAATGTATGAGTTTGAGGTGATTTTGCATTCGACAGAAATTCTTATTCCTGTTATATTTATTTTTGTATTTGACATTTATGTTGCAACAAATTTTATTTTATATTTGAAAATAAATCATGTCAAATAACATACGTAGTACTACGTACTATTTTGCTACACTTTGACATTTTTTGCAAACTACATTATTTTATTAAATTATGGCCCCACCTGAATGGCGATGCTAGATCCGCCCCTGCACCCTACCTCAAAATGATCTCCTGGTTCCGTCCTTGGATGAGCTAGATGAAGGCTACTAGCCACTACGGCACTCTCACAGGTGGAGACAGGGAGGCTGGAGGGGGCCGCGGCCCCCAAGGAAAAAATGCGATGTGTATACATATGCCTCGACAGTTTAAATATAGTGAAATTTTAATCTTTGACCCCCACAACGTAAATTCTTTAAGTCATGCACCCCTAACATAACCTGCCATTTCTGGCTCCGCTAATGGGCATTGTAGGGGCTGCGGTGCTAAGCATTCCATAGGCGGCGTGTTGGCGTGTGCTACAAGCTATGTACCACATTGTTTCTTGGGAAAGAGTACATTGTTATTATTATTATATTTTTTATTATTATATTTATTATTATTATTATTAATATTATTATTTTTATTATTATTATCAACCACAATGTTTACATCTAGAGTATTCTAGACATTGTGGAGAAAAACTTACCAAAATTATATAAAACCATTCAAATAAGGAGAGAGATAATTTATTTACTAATTTTATGTGGCTGTCTCTCATACCACATGTGTTCCGTGGACACTATAACATTGGAGATGCTCTAAGTAATAAAGAACGGAGTAAGTACTAATAAAACAAAATATGAAAAAAAAATAGGGAGCACTTATATAATCATTAAGTATCTCCAATAAAATATAACTGTATAGACGATATGCATATGTGATATGAGAAATATATTCGAAAAAAGAAGAAAGTCAATGACAATTATATATCTTTATTTTCACGGTCTTATATGCTATTTGTAAGGTTTTTGCTTGAATTTAAGTACAACATCTAGATGTAGACATTATGATTAATATTATTTAGAAAATTAATATTACCTAAAACATAGCGCAAATTTTACTTTGCACCCCATTTTGGGTGATATTTGAATTTGCACCATATTTTCAAAATCATTAATGCATGTGTGCACCCTATTTACTACTCCGTATAAAATTATTTGAATTTGTATCTTACTCCATCACAATGTTTGGGATGATTAATTGCTATACATACTGATGATTTTGAAATGGGTTGCAAGTTCAATACTGCCCAAAATATGGGGTGTAAAATCATTTTTCGCAAACATATAAGATTGTATAAATAAAGAGAAAATCATGAATTTATTTATTTTTATCTATCTCTCATGTCTCATATATTCATACACAAAAAATAAGATCATAATAAGAAGACATCGTCTTCCAATCGCCATATGAAATATCATTAAAATGGCTACCATCACTAGAGAAAGTCAAAAACTTTATCAGTAAGGGAATTATTTTCCCTTTTGAGAATTGAATTGGTCAAAATTACTCCTAACACATTGCGGCTGTGGGGCATTTGAGATATGGTTAGGACTTTAGAGGACCCATGGCAAGCTAAGCCTGAAATTGCCTATTAAGGCACCAATCCCCCAACTATATAAACTTCAACTTCCCCCTCATTCTTCCACACCAAATTTGCCAACGAAAGCAAGAAAGAGACAAAAAAAGAAACATAAGCTCCAAGAAAATGTCTTCTCTAATCACAAGTGAGATCAGAGCCAGCGCAACAGAGTTCTATGAAGGGAACGACCTCTGCCAAGAGAAATCCAAGTGCCTCCTCAAAGATATGAACTTGCCAAATGGCTTGCTCCCCATACAGGACATGGAAGAGTGTGGCTACGTCAAGCCCACCGGTTTCGTCTGGCTCAAGTCGAAGAAGAAGACCGACCACAAGTTCGAGCAGATCGGGCGCTCGGTCCAGTACTCGACCGAAGTCACGGCTACCATTGAACCCGGCAAGATCAAGAAGCTAACCGGGGTGAAGGCCAAGGAGCTCATGTTATGGCTGACTATCCATGAGATTTGCACAGATGAGCCCGACACCGGGAAGATCCACTTCAAGAGCACGACCGGGTTATCGAGGACCTTCCCGATCTCAGCTTTTGTGGTCGAGGAAAAGGAGGAAGAGCAGAAGAAGGAGAAACTTGCTAATAATGGTGAGGTGGATGTGGCCGTGGCAGTCAAAGAAGTTTAAATCCATCATCTGGTTATTTACTTGCAGTATACTACAATTGTCCAAAATGGAAGGTTAAAGTTTGATTTCCACTGTTTTCGTTATTCATTTGGCCATTTGGTCAAGTACTTCATATAAATAACAAACTTTACATTTCCAATACTCCGTATTATTTAATGGTCAATTTTTTTGGAACATTTAATGGTCAAATTTAACTATAAGTTTGATCTGAAAATTTAAAATGGTAATTAAGTTTCGTTTGAAGGGAGAACAAGTTTACCTATTTAATCTATTTAGTATATATATATGTTGGTGCTATAGTTATGCAAGTTATTATGGTGTAGGTTCGACGGCCATGGAGCTTATTACTTCAAAGAAATTGCAAATAAAGAATAGAAGTAAATATGTGTACTTAGAAAATAGAAGTAAGACTCATTTTCTCCTATTCAAGAGGCAGCCCAGTGCACATTGGCGTGGTAAGGCTAAATATAATAAGAAATAATGCAATGAAATTAGACTCCTACAAAATTAGTATATGTTTCACTCTTCTTTAGGGATTTTATCTTATTACTTATTATTAGTATAATAATAAGATTTAGCCTCTATTGCTAGCTTCTACGAATATATACTTGCGGCACATTTTATTGCTAGCCTCTATTGCTAGAAACGGGCCAGAGGTACATTTTATTCATATGCGGCACTTGCTTATTGAGGTTGAAAAACTGATTAATTTCTAGGGAGTAAAAATGAGAATTTAATGTCATCATGAAAATTTAATGTTCTATTTTGACATTTTCAGGCTTTGATAATGACAATATACTGACATATATATCTAGTACGTAGTATTATATACTGGTTTAATTTGATAGTAATTACTCTTAACTTATGTAGGAAATAAACAAAAAATGACTCTTATATTGAAATTGCAAAACGGTTTTCATTTCTACTCAAGTAATTTGTTTAATTCCTAAACATTTAACTTATACAAAATGTACAAACAAAAATATAAATATAAATATAAAGGTATTGATATATGTAACTCGGCAGTGCCTCTTGATCTTTAATGGTTGCTTCCAATAAGCATTATTGTTTTGGACGTGTGATACTTTTGGAAATATAGGAACTGAAACTTGCATGTAAGAGGGCATAATTTGCAAATTATAATGAAAAATATAGGATTTAATTTTTTAAAAAGTACATTAAGTAGTATCTTCTGACGAAGATCGTTCCATCGATTAGCGTACTTTGCTGGAGCGTGGATTGAGATTTGCACAGGTCTCTTCTCCCTTGGTCTCCACTAGTTAATTTTTATTTCTTATTTTGTTTCCGGGCTCTATCACGAGGGTTGTTTCCGGCTCTTTGTGGCCGAGATTTGGTTTGTTTCTGCTTTGGTTGGACAGCCGGGGTGCTTTTCCAGAGTCGAGTAGAGTCTGTGAATTTGGAGATGATGATCAAGAATTATAGCATGAAATCCATTGCTGAGGAAGAGAACAAGGAATTGGTGTTAGCAGCAGTTCCAGGAAGGAGGGATGATGTGATAGTGAAATTGGGAAACCCGATAGAGGTTGAAGTCAATATGGAGGAAGATGGGTTCATATCAAAAAACGGCGTTGGGGCGGTGCTACGGAATGAGCACCGCCTAGAATATCATTAGCTATTGTAAGTGGGAGTCTTCCTTTGAAGGTGGCTGAACAAACCTCTTCTCCCTTTCCGATGAATGGTCAAGTCGGCATGTTGTCTTTGAAGGTGGTGTATAAAACCTCTTCTCCCGCTACTTCCTTGTCAGTGTCTGGTCAAACTGGCTTTTGTTACTTTTCTGTTTTTTCATTAGTTTCGAACTCTGTTTTGTTATTTCTTTCCCCTTCTAGTAGCAGGAACAACGTTGCTGTGTATGGAGTCTACCAAATTGCGGGGTTAGCAAGATGGACCGCTAGTAAGCGTGATTCCAGTTCTGAGTCTCATCCCAGTGTAGCCTTTGTTATGGCGATTTTGTATCCGGTCCTTAGTTTGATTAATAATTAAGTTATTTGTTCTCAAAAAAATGTAGTATGAAAAGTTTGTAATAACCATGGTAAGATTTTATGATTTAGACTTAAATTAAATAAATTGAGAATCATTAATAGGTGGATGTTAGCATTATGGTCGATGTCGATTCATTGTAGTTGGCAATGAATAGTGGTTGAAGTGCTGAATATAAATGTCCGGTGTATGTTGCTATTAATGATGGGGGTGTTTGGTTGTGTGCCTATCAGCCATTTTTTGACTAATTTGACTGCTTTTAACTTTTTGACCAGATTAATTCCGCTAACAGAAGTGTTTGGTTAATCGGTCTTTTCATTTAGCGTTTACATCTCTTGACTGTTTAAGTATTTAGTCGATTTGCCTGTTCTACCGGCTATAGTATACTTCCTCCGTTCTTAAATAAATGCAACAGTCAACATTTCACATTTGCCGAGACACAACTTTGACCATTAATATATATAATTCCCGATTAGTAAAAAAAAGTTTAAAAAATAGATTTTGAAAATTTATAATGCGAAAAATTTAATAATATTTTTTTTCAAAAATATATATTATTACATTAATAAATAAAATGTAGTCAAAGTAGAACATGTGAATAGTGCAAAAAGTCCAACGTTGCATTTAAAAGAGAACGGAGGTAGTATATCTCTCCTTCTCCGTGCTGTTCTCATTGACATCTTCCTTGAAAAGGAAAAAAACAACGCCGGAGGGTCCGGAGGTCTGGGGCAAGTTTCTTCTTCACTTACCTAAATCATCAATTAATTTTTTTCATCAAACTGTCTGTTTTTGCTCCAAGGTATCTTGTTCACGTTAATTTCGTTTTGGATTATTCTGATTAGAACTGGGTGGTGCGCCAATCTTATCATGAATTTCACAAGGCACAAGCTGTTCCATAAAGATTTAATGACCAATATATATATATATATATATAGCAAAATATACGAATAATATTATTACAAATAAGGTAATGCGTGATACATCTATATATTGAAAATGTTGAGTAATTTTTTATTAGGGAGTATTACAATTTACAAATAGGTAATGATATTGGCATGTTTTAAAGATAAACGAAATTCATATCTAAGTACGCATGCATATACGTACCACGCGGGTCTTTAATTACTTTATTTTTACCCTCGGTCTGGGATTGGGGTATTTAACTGTTTCCTCATTACTTTCTACGTAGTAATTTGTATACTATGGATCGGAGTGAATAATTGATTTTATGAGAGGATTCTTAATTATAACCGTTTAATCGACTGTTATTATTAACGAATTGAAATAAGGTGACAACTCTGGTACCCATTTAAAAAATAGGATAACGTACCTACCATGCATTTTATTGGTTCAAATCATTATATTCTTTTTAATTAATTTAGTTTTAAATAATTCAATTGCATCATTTTGATTGGTCCATGTTGACAAATGTATGGTACCTCATGGGTACCATAAAATCTACCTTGAAATAAAATACCATGTTCTTGATAACAAACCAGATTAAATCAACTCATATATATTAGAATACATATGCATATAAGACTCGAAAATTTCAATACAATTATTAAAAACATCTTTATTAATCATTTTTTACGATCGATTTTTATTTAAATTAAAAGGAAAAAGAGAAAAGTATTAAGTATTGATCGAAAATATTGTATCGTAATAAAGTGTAAGGTAATGAAAGCTTCTAGGAAGCCTAAGCTAATACAATGGGAAAAAGAGCAAATTAGCCACTATGATAGGTATAAAAGTACAATTAAATAAGACACAAATCTTCTTTTAGATGCAAATAACATTAGATTAAATACATAATTGGCATTCTAGCCACTCACTAACATAAGAGACGGAGGTAAGTTGACGGTAAGAAACTAACAACTAAATTGCTAGGTTGATATCATTGCTGGGAGATCGGCTACACGTAATCACGAGGCAATTGACAGTGATAGCTATATTTGACATTATTTTCAACGGAAAGAATTTTATATTTTAAATTTATAATCTAATTAGAGTAAATCTATTTTTATATTTTACTATCGGATAGCTCATACCAGTTAGCACTTTATATGATAATGAATTGGAGCAACAACGATTTTGCTAAATTTTATCAGCTTAAATAGGTGTGGGCCTTGGGGTAAATGAACCACATGTCGGATTAGGGCTAAATTTTATCAGCTTAAATAGGTGTTGGCAATACAAGTTCGAAGCGGGTGCCACGGATTAGGGCTCAGTCCTAATTTTAGAAAATCCAAATGGGGTCGGTCTTAAAAAATTTAAGAATCATCACGATCTTAAAACATTTAGAAATCGAACGAGTCTTAAAATTAAAAAAAATGGGTATCCGGAATGACTCGTTTTAAAAACGTAGCATTATTTTGATTAATTCTTTTATACGGAGTATGTAATATAGACTACTATAATATACTAACAATACACGAAAGTTCTTAATGTTCCTTGTGTCTAGACAAAGACTCTATTGAACAACCTCGCGATTCTATTAAAAAAATGTTCCAGTCTATACAAACTCCTATATTATTATCTCTAATTATCTATTCGAAAGGCATTAAATTTTCTTTATTTGATCTTTTTTTGTAAACAAAGACTCTTATTAAATGAAATGTGACATATTCATTTAATTATCTTAATTGCACTTACATTTTGAGATTTACTAAGCTTTAAATGTTTTATTAGACATATATGTATAGTGACTAATTTAATTTCATTCGATTTTTGCTACCTTTTTAGTTTATCAATAATGATGTCCAATTTTCCACATTTTAAAATTTGGTGTTGTTTAACTTTTGTGGTTGTGTGCTATTTAATTTATAAATTTGTGATTAAATATTTTGTTAAGTAATAAAAAATATATTTTATATTTGTATTTTGAGGTTTTAGTGGTGACACTGGCACCTAATTAGTTTGAGATTTTATTGCTTACTAAACACATTTTAGCGTAGCAGTATGTTTTTACAAAAAAAATAAGAATCGAGATTTGGTATACCCGGATCGCACTGACTCATTAAATGGAACTAAATAGAAGCTTAGCTGAACTCTAGTGTATCGCTAAATAGAAGCTTAGCTGACTCATTTAAATTCCATTTAAATAGAAGCTTAGCTGAACTAAATAGAAGCTTAGCTCTAGTGTAATTTTGGTTTCTGAATATT